ATAAGAACCAAGATGCATTATGTAAAGGCACAATTCCTAATGAGAAATGTAATTGTGTTGTATACCTACAATGTACCAATAAAAGAATTGAATAATGATAAAAAAAAGAGTGAAGTTCAACATATTTTCATATGTTTACATCATTTGTGTTTCTTGTGTCCCAAATGCTCCACGTATTCCCTATTTGTTACTTATCATATTTGTCATTGATCTCTTTCTTTTTGATTTGTAGGACTTATGTGTTAGGGAGTTTAGCCTTTGTATGTGCCATGAGTTGTTCTTGCATAGTATGCCATATATTTTCTTTGTAGTACTTATATTTAATGTCTTTTCTTATGATTATGCTGAAAGGTCTATAAGATGAAAGTCTGTGTCCTTTTGTACATCATTGTATATCAAGGACAAAGCAAAATGCTGGTCACATAGTAAATAATCAGTAAATGTTTAATGAATGAATCACGGGGCAAAATATGACAAAGAAGATATTTGGTACATAAATGGACTTGGAAATTGGAAAGGGAAACATTTTGTATGGAAACATGATGAGTCCGATTTTGGATATGTTGAGCTCTAGGTGACAGCCAGTATTCTAAGTTCAGTATGTTCAAGACTTTTACTTTGGCAACATACTCATGCAAATTCTGGAGTCATCACTATGACGTTTTTGATTGGAAACAGATGATATCTGGTGGAAAGAATGCTATGTGAGGATCCACAGACAAACGCTTCCAATCAGGACCGATTTCATGTGGTTATAATTGTCATAACAGTTTTAAAACAAATATGAAATGGGAAAAATAGAAACATTATATATTCACAAATATAAAGACTTTGTGAAGGTAGAAATATTTCCATATTTGGAACAATAATGACTATTTCAAAGTATTTATATTATAATTACATCCAAAGCATTTATTGTGAAGAAATGAAACAATTTAATAATGTAAAAACTAGGGGCCGGGGATTTAGCTCAGTGGTTTGGCTGCCTGCTGTGTAAGCTCAAGGACCTGAGTTCAATCCCCGGTACCAAAAAAAAAAAAAAAAACCTCAAATAATGTGAAAACTGAGACCATCATAGTCATATAAACTTGTGAAGATCAAAAATGCTTTTTTTGTATAAAGTAGGCTACTTGTGTTTTTCAGTTTATAATTGGACACTGATTGTATTTTCTACTACTGAACTATCGCAAAAAGATTAATCATTATTTAGTCTCCAAATATGTTTTTACAGATTACGTTAACTGTATGAAAAATAAGAAGCTAGTCAATCTCCTAAAAAGAAATACTTACTTTCTCAGAACAGGGAATTTATCCTAAAATAATCTCTACGTATTACTTAATCCGCAGGGATATTTTATGACAACAGTTATTAAATAGCAATTTTGACTCAAATGCTTATAAGTTATACCTTTTACATCTGTTATAAAGTTAGAATTCTTATTTCATAATAGTAAGGAAATAATCAAGGTAGGAATTCTATTCCATAGGACAAAGGACATGATATTCCAATATCAATCTCAACTTTTAAGTGATCTTATGGATTAAAAGATACTGTCTATAAAGTGTATATGTTTCCTTTTCATTAAAAAATCAGACTTAAATTAGAATAGATACAGTTGTGCTGATCAAACAAGTCATTTAGCAGACAAAAACTTTCATCACATTCGATAACTCTACATAACTTTTAGCTGCCTTTGCCTTTTTAATCGAAAATCCTAGTGTTTCTGAGCCTATTTTGTCATGAAGGCAAAGTTCTTATGCACTGTCATCAGATTCTTCCCCACCAGTGGAGCGCTTGTCAATAATGAATGAAGTAATCTATAGAAGGATATAGGAAGTGTGAAGAAAGAAGAGAACCAGTTGAACCAGTGCAGCAGCAGCTGAGCTCATGCTGGCTGTAGGCTCTAGAGGGCATATCCATAATGTCACTTCAGGGGCTTTTAAGAAGCCAGTTAGTCATTTGCTTATGCTAAGTTCTCAGAAGTGCTTATTTTCTGCTTAGAACAGGAATATTGATTCATTAAGAGAGAATGTAGGAATTTCTGTGATTGGTCTCATTTTATACAACTTCTATTAAGACTAGAAATCAATATAAAGCTATTTTTCATTTGCTTGTTTTCCTTACTTACAAAGACAGTATCCTAAAAGCTGATTCTCAGAAGAGTATTCTTTAAGAATTGAATGGTGATGGGGTAAAGTTTTATGCCATTCGGGAAGTTCAGCTATTTCCATAGTTTTGCTCTGCCCCTCCTTGCCTTTACTTGGGGGAAAGGAAGTCAAGAATTTGTTGTTAAAGCTCAGTTATTTTCCAAAATGTAGGCTACCTGAACAATGGAGTCTTTAGTGTGTTAATGTATGCTGTTCCCATTGAAGGAGCCATTGAGAGGCCAATGTCAAAAAATTGACCCGAAAGGTCAGTGGTCAGGGGTGGAGTAAAGGAGTGGAAAACATCATGTTCTAGATGAGTACCACCCGAAATTAGCATATGAGAGAAAGTAGCTGCCTGCACAGGGGACCGTCTCTTGGTGTAATGAGGGCAAAAATATACTCTTTTGTAGAAGATGGCCACATAGCGTTTGCTTACTTCATTCCATATCTCTTTTTAGCTAATTATTCTCAGCCCATTACAGAAATGGAAGGTAAGTTTAGCAAACTGTTTGGCCATTTATGTTTAGTGCACAAAATTCTTAATTAACGAAGCAAAATGCCACAATCCATTGTAAATCACTTTGCTAAACTTTCAAATTTAATAAGGAATTTTGTCTTGTCCAAAAGCTACTTTCAGACCCCTGCTGATCTGGCACTCATGCATGATTCCCTGTGGAGCTGAGTGAAAGAATGTGAAGCGAGCCAATTAAAGAAACTTTGAGCCAGAATAGACAAGCAGGGGCCATCTTGTCCATCCTTCTGCCTTGAGGCAAAAACCATCCGCTGCAACACAAATTTTTTGCTTAAATCCTGCTGGCAAAAATGTGCACCACGTGTAAATGACAAGTCATAATCCAGTTATTGCAACGGAAGCAGATTGTTAAGTGTTCAAGACTTATTTATTGTGTTGTAAAGATGCTGAGCATAAAGCTCATTGAATTGTCTTAATTCCCCCTTTCTGGAAAATTATTTTGTACAAGAAATGTACTGAAATAATAAATGGGGGGAGGTTTGTGTCCAGGAAGTAAAGTTATCTTCATCATCTTATTAAGTGTATTTTTGGTTTCCATTCACTCTAGGCTTACCTTATGGGTGGGAGGAAGCTTACACAGCAGATGGAATCAAGTACTTCATCAAGTAAGTACAAGCATCTCAACCAAGTAAGCAATTTTCCTCACATCTGGAGAGAACCTGGAAGTTGCAGAATAATCAGCAAAACCAAGAAACACTCTTGGAGGTTATAAAAATTAGAAACAAGAAATGAAGCCTCACCATTTTCATTTCATGTGATTTAAATGCTAATATAAGATGTCACTTGGGAGGGAAAAAAACTTAGGAATAACTTCAAGGGAAACAAAAAATCATAAGACTTATTTGAACTTAAATATTGGCTGTCTGAATTCACTTGCTGCTAATAGTATTCATATTTATGAAAAGTTAATAGCTAATGAAAAAGTCCACTTATTATGTTTTAAAATTTCTTAACAATAACGCAAATAAGAATCACAGTGTTTTAATGCTTCACAGTGTACACAGATCATTCATTCTGCAAACACGTTTTGAGCATTTACTGTTAGCCAGGCAGTGTTCAAAGCCCTGGAGATACAGGAGTGAAACATGAAGACTGGTTCTCTGATAGCATGGGATTTATAATAGTGAGAAAAGGCAGACAATAAATAATGGAAGACCAGACCTAAAAACCTGAATAGGAATGCATTTTTAGCTGCTGGACAGGGTAGTTTTGCCCTGACCAGAGCAGTCTGGTACGCTCCCACCATCTCAGTAGCCCCTGTTCTTTCTGAGTTGGCATAGGGGAGAGAGCACAAAGGGGGATCCCAACAGACACCTGAAACCACAAGATATTCCTTGTGTTTTTCTTCTACCAAATTATATCCCTATGCATTTCTGGAGAAAAAGAAAGACATGCCCTTGCTGTCCTTTCTCATATGCAAATACTCTCCAAAGCAATATCCAGATTTGGAATTTTCAATTCTTCTGACCTTTTACAGGTTTCTACATCTCTCTTAATCTCAGTTTTCTGACCATAAAATAAGGGAAACATTTTCACCTTGGTAGACTTATTAAATGTTAGGCAAGGATAACAAAAAAAATGAAAAACCACATTCAAATTTGTACAGGGTACTAGCTAATATGCAATAGTGAGACATATACTAAGTGTATTTTTCTATGAATTGTATTGCTTAATCCTCTTCACAATGTGGAAAGTAGATGTCACTTGTCTTTTTTTGATGGTGTAATGGTGGTGGGCTGCATCTTCCCTATACCCATGCCTGCCCTCTTGAAGGTACCCCAAAGAAGTACATGATCAAAGGAAGGAAAGCTAGAATTCATTGCTAACTGGGGTTCTGCAATCAATGGCCTTTGAAAAATTGTCATCACTGGGGATTTAGCTCAGTGGCACCGCGCCTGCCTCACAAGCGCCATGCCTGCCACATAAGCACAAGGTCCTGAGTTCAATCCTCATACCGAAAAAATTGTCAGTACATAAGCCTGAACCCTGTAGGGAACTCATTCACCTAAGCTTAGCTGTCTGTCACTACATCCTAGCCCAGGGTTGAATGTCAGAGACTAGCTAGTGCCATAAGAAGAAAGGATACTGTGGTGGTTAGGGTGGATGTCAACTTGATTGGCTATGGGATCCACCTAAAGGATTGGTGGAGCACACTTCTGGATATATCTGGGTGGATCATAAAGCCATGGCCTGGGGCTATGGTTCCTGGATCCTTACTCTGTGGCTCTGTTCACCTGCTGTCCCTCCCTGCCATCCTGAACTAAGGCACTTTGGTCTACCACACCCTTCCACTGTGATGCTTCTGCCTTGGAGTCAGCTAAAACATGAGCCAAATTAAACCTTTCTTCCTTTAAATTGTGGGTCTTGGGTATTGTATCCAGCAGTGGAAAAGGTGGTTGATACAGATGCTAAGGGTGCAATTGGCCTCAACAAATTTATCTCACTGCCCAGGACCCAGCTGACCCATACAGCCCAGAACAACAGTCTAGGGAACAGCTCCTATTACAGCAGGGAGACTGGAATCCAAGGAGAGTAGAAAAATGAAAAGGAGTCACAAACTCTTGGCCTGCCTGAATATCTAACTCAGTTCCAGTGGAAGGAATAGAAAAAAGAGTCTATTCACCCAGTTGTCTTTGCTCACTCAGAAACACACTCAGTTGGGTGTGTTCTGCAAGTCCGTCAGTTCTCTTCCTTGTCCTACTCTTGATGCATGAAGAAAGCACAATGGAATGATAAGATAAATTTTCCAAGGTGCAATAGTGAACATCATTGCTTCACCATTACAGTTGAAGAAACTGTTAAGGAGGCTAAATTCATCAAGGTCACATGTAAAATCACAGAGCCAAAATACAGATTCCAGGTTGTTGGCTCCAAAGCCACCACCCTACACACATACTCAAGCTCTTTATTTTAAGGTTGTCAGTTGACATCTGACAAAAAAGACATTTTAAACAGATATTGATTTATTGTAAAGTACCAGAATAGAAACTTCATTCTTTGAATAAGTAGTGATCTTCTGGAAGTTAGAAAGGTCAAAGAATAAAAATAAGGGTATCTAACAATTTACTAATGCCTGCTTCACCATACCTCATGGAGGAATGGGGTGTCTACAATAAGTTAGGTTTTTGTTAGAACTTTACCCCATTCAAGCACCAAGACTTGGTTTTATTGTACTTGCAGAAAGCTTCACTTTAATATGTATTACATGCTTCCCTGCCTCCTTGTATAGAGCCCACTGAGCAAAATCATTATGAACATCCATCATTTTACAAAACACAGTGCTTGCTGCCAGTGATAGTAAGCTATATATGCCATAATAGAGACACAGCACTCATCTCTCCCTGTTCTCAAGTGCTTGTCACCACTCTCTTCCCCAGGAGTTTCATATTTGAAGAGGCCCATAGATAATCAGGCTCATTTGAAATGCTTGTAGAGAGACCTTGACTATGGGTCTGCAGAGGCTCTTACGTAAGTCAAGTGCCTAAGTTTTGGTGCAGGTGGATTTGATTACAGCAAGGTCAAGTGGTAGAAGGGGAAGAAGAGCATGCATGGGCTTTGCCCTTGGAGAAACTTGGATTCAAAGGCTAGTGTCTCCTAGAATAAACGACCTTGGGCATGTTCTTTAACATCTCTGGGTTTCAATTTCCACACTTATAAAATAGAAAGTATATTAGGACTTCATAGAGTTCGAAACAACCTGTTCACAGCGGCTGGCTCGAAGTAGACAACTGCAGCAAAGTTGGCCTCTTTACGCCTCCCCTCAACATTTTGGTGGGGGTTCTCGGTGATTTTTAGCCACGTTCAATTAGGTGATGTTGCCAGATAAAGTCTGTATAAACAAACATCCATTGATGTCTCTTTTAGAAGTATTTAGTATGTGTTTTGTTTTCATCTTTATCCTTCTATGGCCCCAACCAAAAATCTGAGCCCACGTATCCTGTGTTAACTCTTAAGGGGGAAGTGGTTCAATTATACATGGGCAATACTTTGGAGGCAAGAAATAACAAGGAATTAACTCAGAATATTGCCTCTCTCACCTCAGTTTAAAAAGAATAATGGCCAAAGTCACCTTCCCAGAATACCGAAGGAGATTATGGTTTGTGTGCATATAATCTCTTCCCAGAAATTGGCATCTGTCACTGTCTTCCCCAAAACCGAATTGTAACGTCTGATGGAAGTGGAGCCTCAGGCAAGGGGATGACCGTCAGTGCTCAAGGATGGCCAGGTGTGCAGTCCTCTCGGAGAATTCTCAGCCATCCACACACCCGCTGGGCGTCTATTAATACTTTGTCACTACTTAAGTTCTGATTCAAGAAAAGAGCATTTGACCTGGTAGAAACAAATCTAAATGGTGTTGGTCTTTCCAGAGCCAGGGTTTCAAAGAATTAATAAACGTGTGTGTTTCTATGCCTTATGTATGTCCAGAAATGCATAGATGTGTGTAGGCAAACTCACCTGCCAGAAAATATGTATGTAAATCCATAATACATATATTTGTCTAAAATATATTAGTGCATTCTAGGAAAACTCTTTCTTATTTTCTCTCTCTCTCTCTTTTTTTTTTTTTTGGTATTGGAGATTGAACTCGGGACCTTGTGCTTGTGAGGCAGGTGGCGGAACCACTGAGCTAAATCCCTGGCCCTCTTATTTTCTCCTTAGAAAGGAAGTTTCAGCATTCTTAAACTTTATAACAAAATGTCTGTTATCTTGGGGGTGCTCTAATGAAATTATCTGATTAACAAGGTCTTTTTTCCACTGAACTTCATATCTCCCCTGAAAGTTGTGTACTAATACAGATTAGTAATAGTCTTTTGGTATAATTCTACTTTTAGGTTCCTATACTTTGTATATATGTTTTACAACGAAATTATTATGAGTTATATTTGTTGGTGAAACTCAATTTATTTATTACAAACTAGACATAGCTAATTGCTTTCTTTATTTCCTTCTACTAAAAGATTCAGATTCTCTATGATCAGTGATTATACTTGTATTTTCTACTTTTACATATTTTTTCCCAAATTCTTCAGCTTAAAACAATAGACATTTATTTCCCCATGCAGTTTCAGAGCATCAGCAATAATCAGCTTCTCTGGATAATTCTGGCATACACACTCTCTCTCTCCCTGGGTTCCTTGGAGTTGTCAAGCTGTTTGTTAACCAGGGCTAGGAACTGACTGAAGAGGGCTTAGTGGGCTGGTGAGAGCCTCGCTCCAAGCTCACTCATGAGGCTGTTGGCAGAGGCTTCAGTTGCTCACGTATCACAACCACACAGGGCCATAGAACTGCTCATAACATGGCAGCTGGCTCTTTCCAGAGCAAGAGACTAGAAAGATTTTTTTTTTTTGGTACCGGGGGTTGAACTCAGGTCCTTTCACTTGTGAGACAGGCGGCGGAACCACTGAGCTAAATCCCCAGCCCAAAGCAAGAGACTGGAGACACACAGACAAAAGCTGTGGTATCTTTTACAACCAATCCCAGTTACATACCATCACTTATGCTACAAGAGGTTGCTATTGGTCATGCAGACCGACTGTGGTATAATATCAGAGGGGACTGCACAGGAGTGTGGATTCCAGGAGGTGGGGATCTTGGGGACCCACCTCAGAGGATGCCTACCAAAATGTTATTTCACAATGCAGTGTACATTAAAATATAATTTGTGTACAACTCTATATACATAATCCAAAATTTCTCTATTTCAGATACTCGCTCTCAATATTCACTTACAGTGTTAGCAACATTTCAAGTACATGCAATCGTTTGTCTTAAAAAGTTACTTAAGCTTGATTTATAATTCTCCACCCATCCACTTGGATTATATGCTTTTATATCAGATTCTAAAATCTGATATATTGTTCGTCATGTTAATTCTATCCTCCACTAGGAAGTAGTAATCATTACAAATGCATATCAGTAGATCCTTGGAAGTCTATGTGATTTTTGAATAAAACAAAGATTTTTGTCTAGTGCAGGGAAGGCAAATAGATTTCACCTCACATCAGCTCTCTCTCAGTTGACAACAGCTGTCTCAAGTGTTGTCTTGAGAAGAATTCTGAGGCCATATTCAACCTCACTGACGTAGGCCTTGATTGGTTACAGTTGTCTGCTCTGGGTCCAGTGGGAGAACCAGTGTCCAGCACATGTGCCTTCTCTTTTGCAGCCTTGGTCTTTCTGAGCATATTGCTAACACAGGAACTCTGCTGGAATGAACAATAGTAATGTAGCTATGAGGTTGGAATAACAAAATAAACAGTGATAACCACCACCCTCCAGAATTTCCGATAAGATGTTCAATATTTGCAAGATTTACTTTAATAATTGTAAAGCATAACTAATTTCCAATAGAAATATTTTTTCTTTCTTTCCAGTCAGAGTTCATTAATGACCATATGTGGCCATTGAGTATAGGTTGTTCCCAGGTAGGAAAAAATGTAAATGATAGGCTATCTATAGATAAAATTCCTTTTTGTTACTTCTGAATTAGCTAAAAGCTTCAGTTACTTTGTGTCATTTCACTTATAAAATAAAAATAGAAAACAAGATTTGAGATTATTATTTTTTTAGGCCTTCAAGTAAATCCTATCTTAATTCATTCTAATGCAGTTAGAAAGTACGGAGCATCAAGAAGGAAAGATGGAGAGGTAGGACGGTTTCTGGATTAGAAATAAACTAGGGCTGGGGATTTAGCTAAGTGGTTCCACTGCCTGCCTCACAAGCACAAGGACCCGAGTTCGATCCCCGGTACCAAACAAAAAAAAGAAAGAAAGAAAAAACTACTACTTTTAGCCTTTCCCAAATCCTTGGAAGATTATTGTCAAGAGCCCTCCCCTCAGAAGACCTCCTGAACTTAGCTGCTGTGATTCATTTCCAGTGAGTGAGTGGTGTCCATCAACAGATGAGTAAGGTCTAAAGCTCATTTGATGAGATGTCAGGACAGTTTCTATGCATCTGACTTCAGACTAGATAAAGAGAACATGTGTAGGTGCCTCATTGATTCTGCATGTGTGAGAATTTAAAAAAAAAAAATGACCTTTTGTCTTTTTTTTTCAGTGCTGAATATCTAACCCAGGGCCTCATGCATTGGTAGGGAAGTGCTCTACCAATGAGCTATACCCCTGGTCCCAGCATTTCATTTTTAGTGAGACTATGGAGAAACCAAAAGAGGACTTTAAGGAGGCAATAGAGATCTTTTAAATAATTTGCCCCAAACATGGCCTATCTACAAGTAAGTTACTAGGTATAAAAATCACTATTTTGATTTCAGAGCTGTAGCTATCCATGTGCTACCTGGTTTAGAATACCCATTATTGAGCACAGGGCATGGTATATATGAGGACTGAATGTTTATTGAATGAACATCCTGCTGGCAGTTTGGGGAAGCAATTGATGGGATGGGGGAAAGCTTCATATCTAATAGATCTGAGTTCTAATGTTCATGCCATTACTTTTAGATATGTCCTTGGTACTTATTTCAAATCTCAGATAATAATTTCTAACTCTGCAAATTGTTTTGAATATTGAATGAAATGGGCATAAAGCTCCTGGCAAAATATCTGGCACATGATGAGTGCTTAACAGATGTTAGTCCCCTCTGTCTTCCCTTTATTGCTATTTGCAATGAAGGAATTTTAAATGATAACATTTGCACAGCTGCAGATAGAAACCAGTAGCCAAAACCTACACTTCTGCCACTCCCTGGCCAGTCCAAAGCCCTGTGATAGGAGCAGAAAGGTTGCATTGATCATGAGCCTGAGACAGCTGGCCCGGGATTTTCTATAAATACCTATAAAGAGGTGTAGGAATATGAAGCACTGTAGGAGAAATTGTCATTTAAGTGAAAGGCCAGCCAGCTGGCTTGGGTTATTCAGAATGGCAAAGCCACTGAAATGAATAAAACATCCGGATCTAGACATCCAGCATCAAGCTCTTTTTCCCCCAGTTAAGCAGTGACAGGTATAACTTAGATGTGAAGCATGTTCTCCAGTATTTCGTTGGGATATTATGAATAAATCTTCTGAGAATGCACGAAGTGCTTTGGAAATTTATCACCTTTCTGAGGTTATATTTCTTTTAGCCAGTTATAGTATTCTGTCTGGCTCCAGGACCCTTACTTTAGGTTTATTAACAAATACTAATTTTTATCAAGCATTTTCCCCTACAAATTTGGTTGCTCTATTAGCCTAGGTGGGTTAAACAACAAAAATTTATTTTCTCACAGTTCTGGAGTCCAGAAGTCCAAAATCAAGGTGTCAACAAGGTTGGTATCTGGTAAGACTCTCTCCTGGACGGAGCTACACCTGTAATAGTTGCTTTTTCTTTACTTACTTTCTATAAGATCTCTGGTACTTTATTTTCCATCCAAAAGATTATCTGCATTTATAAGGTCATACATAATGTTTCTTGCTACACGTTTACTAAGTTTTAGGCAAACTGGCAAAAATCCAGACCAGTGTCTTTTTCTGTAGGCTCTAGTTTTTGTGGAAGAAGCAGTTGAGGAAAGGAGGGTTGTGGTGGGCAGAATAAATGCCGCCCCCAGTAAGGTCCAGTTCTGGTCCCAGATCCTGTGAATGTGTTGGGTTGCATGGTAAAGGGGAATTAATGTTGCAAGTGGAATTAAGGCTCTTAAGTACCTGCCCTCGAAATAGGGAGAGTAGCCTAGATTATCCAGGTGGGTTCAATCTAATGACATGAGCCTTTAACAGTGGAAGAGGGAGGCAGAAGAGTTAGAGAGATGTGGCCATGGATGCAGAATCTCAAGACAAGCTATGTTGCTGGCTTTGAAGTCGGGGCCCATGAGCCATGGAATGCAGGTGACTTCTGAGCTACAGATCTGCGAGCTAGTAAATTGCAGCCATTTTAAGCCACTAAATTTGTGATAATTCATTCAACAATAGAAGACTAATGCAGGGAGTTAGAGGTAGAGGGGAGAGGGTAATGGTTATGGTATACCTAGAATGTGTCAGGCATGGAACTTATACATGTTATCTCTTCAAAAACTATTGATGCATGTGTTATATATGGTATACATTAGGAAACAGACTCAGAGTTGAAGTAACTTTCTCAGATGTCCGCAGGTAACCCAGTTAGCAGGTAGGCAAACCAGAACTACAAATGAGATCTGCATAATGTATATGAAAGAACAGTGACCTTGGTCTGCTTGTGAGTCACTCAGATACTGTGTGCCCTTCAAAGTACACATCAACTCTCTAAGCCTCAGTTGCTTCAATTGTAGAAATGATAGAGAAAAATAATGTTCATGAGCTTTGCATGAAAAACAACCTGGGAAATATTTATCAAAGAGAATTATAAAGAGTGCAGTACTTTTCTGATGTAAAAGTCTTATCCAGCTGCCACATACCTGAACATCTGAATCTAATAAACAATGTCAGTATCAAGGGCCTGAGTGATCTTGGATAACAGCTGCACTTTGTAACTTCAGCGTCAATATTAACCAGGTATCTCTATGAAAATCTTCTTCCTTGCATTGGGCACACGCCTAGAAACAGGGATTTGGCCGCGTGCCAGTCATTTCAGAGGCAGATCATTTCCAGTGTGGTAAAATCACCTTGTTGAGGATTAGGCAATCGGGTGGGGCGAGCTTTCAGCCAGACCATTTACCGTCATATTTTTTTTGTCTTTGGTAACATTTTACATTTTAATAGTTAAAACTAAATTTGTAAGTAACTTTTGTAATCATTTGCCGTAAATAATTATACCTTAAAGACTGGAATCCAAATAAGTTTCCATGTAATGCCAGCTACTCAGAAGATAAACTCCCACCAAAACTGTTTGAATTCTTGTACTACTTCAGTTATTACTTACCACAAAATGTAGTAGACCTTTGCAAGATGCTTGGGTATGACAATTGGTGAGGGGGGCTAGTAGTGCTAATTATTTGGTAACTTGGGGGCTATTTAAATAAATATATCCATTTTCCCTGATAATTTTCAATCTTGGTAAGCATATTTCTAAATATTTGAGGGCATTATCACATGTGCAGATTGTTTTATCTGACCCCAAAGTATAAATAAGATGCTCTACCACTTTTGGTTATTTTTACTCAGTGGTATAACTCCAGTAAAATATCAGGGGAATGTATAATGTCCCTATGCATCAAGCATTTATTGACTCGACTCTCTGTGAGCCAGACACAGGCTAAAAGGATGAGAAGGACATTGACCTGCCCTGCAGAAGTTCCCAGCCTTGTGGACAAAGATAGACATATTTAGAATTCACTGCTGCATGATATAAAAAGTAGGACTACTGAGGAGCACAAAGCCTGTATCTGACTCAGGCTTCACACTAGTACTTTTTATTCAGAATTGCTCAGATAACACTGTTTTGTTTTGTTTTTATGAATTTCATGGCAAGTACTTTTACAAAGATAAAGAGCTTTAGATAAATGATCTGTGATCACCGAGTTAATCCTCTCATTTATTTCACCTTGTAAAGCTGAAAAGTCCCTTTTAGATGGTCACTTGGTCCTTCCTAGAGCCTCCTTATGTGTTGTTATGGAAACTGACCCCAGATAGCAGAACCTCCAGAGGACTTCTACAGAATGGTGAAATTCTCTGAAGCTAGGTTTGCATCTGGGTCACTCTAACATACCATGTAAGTGTTTGACCCGGAGTAAAGTTATTTCATCTTTCTCCATATCGCCTTCCTCAGGAAGGACAGCAGAGTCCATTTAGTAATAGTTCAAAGGTGGGACCATTAGAAACAATTGGTATTTAAAGTTCATGGGAGAGGTATAGAGGTTGGTGGCACTTTTTAAAAATCCCACAGTTTTTTTTACTGTAATTAGACTATTATAGCATTTACTCTCAAGTGACTTTGACACTGCTATATGATTGTGCCAAGGATACTGATAAAATGCCTCAAGATCTTAGAGATGATCTCGTAAGGAAACTCTCAAAATCCCTTCCAGCTTTGTGATTTTAGATTCTTCTCTAACATAACATGTATATGCTTATACTTTTATATTTTCAGTGTAGTCTGTATAACTTTGATAGAAATTATATCATAATTAATATAAGATTAGTTGAAATTGTACGTTTGAAATTTAGGGTTTTTTAGATTTCAAATTTGGTAATTAAGAAAAATGTGTTTATTCAGATGCTTATTAAGCTTATTTTATTGGGTAAGCTCAGTAAAAGGCTGTGTGAATTGCATCATAATTCTGTTTTGAAAGAGCATTAAAAATTAAAGTAGCTTCTATATGCTGTGCACTTCTGCACACAAGTGAGAATTTAATGTAGAAACTTTGGCAATGGTCTTGCAAACTGGCTTCTAATTAAATTGAGTATTCTAAATCTCTGTTATGAGTCTTGATTATTGACATATAGTAGCATGAAAAGATATATTTGTTACCTCTTTTCTGTATTCTAGAAATATAAAAGTTGTACATGCACTCATGGCTTCCTCGTTTTTTTTTTTTTTTCTTCATACCGGGGATTGAACTTGGGTCCTTGCGCTTGCACGGCAGGCAGTGAAACCACTGAGCTAAATCCCCAGCCCTCATGGCTTCCCCTTGAAATGCTCTTCTTGCTTGGCCATTACTTAGAGTAACACTGAGTGCAATAGCCCAAGTCAGTGCAGAGATTCCTGGTTGATGGCTGGTCTTCTAGGTGCCAATTTTGAAACCCAGGATCCTTCACTGTCAGGGCTCAGCCATTCCCTGGGACTGCAGAGTCCTCTGCATGCAGTTAGTGGAGTGAGAATAGAGAAGGCACTCCAGCTTCTTAAAGACTTCTGACCAACCAGAGAGACACCAATTCTGTCCCCTTCCCTGTGTGCAGGTGAAGGTGCAGGGGAAGTTGGGAAATGTAGTCTGAGCCTAGACAGTAGGCTCTTAGAAACAACTCTACAGTATGGGAAAGAGAACATCAGTTTTTGTTGGACACATCAAAGGGACTGTAATGAAGGACAAATATACCCACTATATGATCCTATGCATTGCTAATCGTCTAGGGCATAGGCAACAGGACATATTTTTTTCCTTTATTCTGTATTTTTTTGTCCTATCATGATTGAAAACAAGATCAATTTTTAAGAATTACCTAAGGCTACACTCTGTGATTATAGAGCTGTTTCTTTTTTGAAAAAATTAATTATATCAGCTCTGGACCTGGGATGTTTTAGCTCTGTAAAAGAATTAACAGTAGTCTAGGTCTGTGTATATTATCTGAAAAAATGATATTTTCTACATTTTTCACAGGAACTTACTTTTCTTTTTTTTTTTTTTTGGTGCCAGGGATCGAACTCGGGTCCTTCTGCTTGCAAGGCAGGCGGTGGAACCACTGAGCTAAATCCCCGGCCCTCAGGAACTTACTTTTCAATATTCATCTTTTACAAGTCTTGTGAAAGCAATTTTCCAATATTACATACAATACATTTATAACTTTATATTCTTATAATTTGGCATGTGAGATTTTAAATTAATAGAATGTTAAGATATCTAGTGTATTTTTATAGAAAGCACCATAAATAGGTAATAAAAATAAAATTTGTCCTCTACACTGTAAAGATTTAAATGAGATCCTGATAATATTTAGTCAAAGCTTTATTGGATTTCCAAAGGCCAAATTATGAAGTACTCAAAATGTTCTGTGATATTTACAAAATTCATTAATTATTTTGATTTAGGGGCATACTTCTAAAATTCTGTAAGAGAAAACTCCTTTATTAGTGGTAAGGAAATTCCTATAATTTTCCCTTATGTATTTTTGAAACAGATACACCTTATATTAATGACCTATAAGTGTTCTTGTAACCAGTGCTGTGGAAAGAGTACATCGTGCCTATATATCATAGTTTGGTAACTTTTTTAATGATTTTATTGACATGATTCACCTTGTGTCTTTTTACCTTCTAATTTGTTAATTATAAAATGGGGATTATTTTTAAGTATAAATCTTTTATTCTCATTTCCACTTGAAACCAGTTGTAAAATCGTCCAGTGATTGATTCAAAGATACTGACTGGTGACGGAGACAAATGTATTAGCATATATTTACTTATCTTTGTTTTCTGATTTATATTAATCTTATATACATAAAATTATCCACCCCAGAGGAAAAAACTGACATTGAACGTTAATAACATTGGCTTGTTATCATGCAGCTTTATCTTAAACATGATAAAATAGTACACACAACTCTTGTTAAACTCAGTGATATATAAATAGTACCATCTACAATGGTAGATTAACAAAAGAACCTCTTTCATCATCTTGGAACATTGTAAGAATGAATTTCTGCAAAACTAGTGCACTTTTTGTCTTTAAGCCACTTTTTGCTTAACAGGCTGTCCTAAATTTTTATTTTGAAAGAAAGCATTTTGCTTGGTTTTTTGAAAGAAAGCATTTTGCTCCTCTAGCTAGGAGGTAAGAAACATAAGGAGAGTAATTATAATGGGATTTTTAAAATTCACTTACATTTCTTTGCCAATAAAATAAAGCATGTTCTTTCAAGTTTTTTCATAAGCTCTAAAATACGTCTTTCAATTTACTAATATTATTTTTTAAAGCAAACAATTGATCATCTCCCCAGGTCAAATAATATTGTTTTCCAACTACAGGTTTGGTAACCATTCAGAGGCAAATAATATTTTGCTTTTTCGGTTTTCAAATACATTTGAACTGCTGTTGATTGCTCTCCAAATCAGGTCAAATGCCCTGTCTCTGCAGGAACATTTGCCAGAGGTACTGCATGTTCGAATGGATGATTTTCATGTTTCATAGTCAGCCTCATTTATTTTCCAGACCTCTAAATTTTTCATTCTACTCAGCCACATCTCCCTTTAGAAATCATGGGATCTTTATTAATTAAACAGAGTCAACAGGCCTGATTTATTCTCCCTTCTCAGCAGACTTACCAAGCACACAAATCAGAGAGGAAATATTTCTAAAACTAAAATGTTCTTCAAGCCAGTAAATCTGGAATTATCTCATCATGCTGATTATGTCAAAGCTTTTTAGCCACAGTGTTCACCAAGTCATAAAATTGAATGGAAAACTCACAGTTGGCCCCATTCCAACATCATAGGCAGAATGCCAAATTTTTCTTAAAATAATCAGAAAGCCCTATTTATCAATAAAACTAGCTATGATTATTTATTGAATAGCTACTGCTTGCCAGGCACTTTACCTGCACTATCTGATGTTCAGTAGCCCTTCTCCCTTATGGCTGAATGTTTTTACTAAAGACCCAATTATGAAATGTGTTCTTGTCAGGTAATTTTTTTTTTTTTTTTGGTACCGGGGATCGAACTCTGGAGCTTGCGCTTGAAAAGCAGG